CCCCAAAACCCCAAAACCCCAAAACCCCAAGAAGTAAAATTAACTCAAAAATTGAAAAAATATAAATTGTTAATATAAAGTACATTTGATCATTCTTTGAAAATCATTTATGAACCTTCAGCTTACTTTCAATATTACTTAATTTATCACTTAAATCCCTATGAGAAATTTAATCTTGTAAAATATCTTCATCAAAGCTAAATTCATCTATAATTCATAATTATTAACATGTTAAATATCGTTTTAATTACTCCTTATCTCTTCATCTGTTAATGCATTGCTTTAAATAATTTCAAGGGAACGACCATTTTCAAAGGGTAATAAAGTTGAAGTGTTGTACATTCCTAAGCCACAATAAATTACATCATTATTTAAAAGATATTACTCCAGATCAATCACCTCTTTAGAAGAATTATAGGATTTTATATATTTACTTAGAATTAAAGTCTTTGTTTTATACTCATAGCAATAAACTCTTCCATATACTTCTCTTCCAAGATTAGTCCTAATCTTTATAAGAGTCCCGATCATCTCTTTGCTGTCAATTTCTTTGAATAACTTCTACTGCTCATTAGATTATGCTTTATCCTAATTCTTATTAGATTCCTTTGATTCTTCAAGCCTTCTAATATTTTTATAGCATCAAGAATCATCTTACTTCATTTTACTTTAATTTGTATTCTGATCAAATTAATGTTATTATTATACAATTTACAATTATAATGAGGCTTTAATTGACCTTAATTTATGATGCAGTCCTTCTTGCATCCTTGTCTTTATCCCTAATTCAATGTAATAGTCGATCATAATCTCAGGAGGATTGCATAACTTGCATGGATGTAACTAAATACAGCTACTGCACAAGTGCCTACTCAAGTTAAAATGGATTTTGCTGTGATGGATTATTTGACTCATTAAACCCTAATTGCATGTCGAATCTTAAGGATTGTTCAAATGAGATTAATAGTGATAACTCTATTTTGAAATATTTAATCTGCCCTAGAAATAAAGATAAGTGCTCATCAGGTCCTAGCATAAATATCACAAGTGCATTTCCCAAATTCATAACTATCTAGCCTTTAAGTTTTATTGAGTTTTGCAGTTATGAGATAAGTGCAGATCCTGTTTAGTTTAGGAACTATTCTTAGGCAATAAAAATTAACATTGTTGATCAAAGCTTTGCAAAAGTCTCAATCTATGTAAACTAAACAAGTCCCTTTTCTCCAATTGTACAAACATAGATTAAAGCTACTGTTGGACAAACTTACCAATTTAATCTTAGAGATAAAGTAACTATTCTAATAAAATCCTCAAGTAATTCTAGCGACGAATTTGTAAATTTTGCCTAGTTCAGTTTTAAGGTATACATTGATACCTATTCATCAGCAGATGATAAAAGCATTAAGTCATAAACTAATTCAACCAGCAATTCTACTAATTCAACAACTGATGCCTCAACAACTACTGCTAGTTCAAACAGTATATTTGATACTTACAGCGTATATTTTAATTCTTAGAGCTATAAAGTCACAATGATAGTAATAGGATTTTCGATTGCAATTATTAGCTGGATGATCGTGCTTAGCATTATAGCGTGCATATATCGTAGATTTCTTGAAAAGAAGCTATGTCCAGTAGATTATGAAGTTCGAATGAAATCTAATTAAATGCGTAGGTAAAAAGAAGATGATGAGGAAAAAATTCTAAAAGAAATGCAAAAGCATGAGAATCATCATAGTACTGATGATAATCATCATGCTAAACCAGAAGACCCAGAGGCTAAATTTCTTCAAAGCTCAAATTAAAAAACTGAGCTGGAACAAATTGATTTTACACCTGATTACACTTAGCTATCGAATAATCCTACTCCTAAGAGTGCAAAGTCTAGAGCAAAGGATAGGAAAGGGCTTAAAAACTCATTACCAATGCAAGACATTACTATGGATGATTTCTTAAGACCTAATAATTCAGTAATAGCAAGTCCTGTTTTATCACCATAGAGTGTTTAAAATTCCACTAGAAGTAAAACAAAAAAGTAAGCATAAAATGAGACAAACCAAGAGACCTAGATATCTAAAATTAATGACGACGATGTAGAAGAAATCAACATACTAAAGGAAAAGAAAAAGCTAAATAAGAAAAAAAAGTTGCCTCACTAGTAGTTTTTTAATCAGCAACCACAAAACTTTTCAACTCTTATTGATTTTGATAATTAATTCGAGGAACAGACTCCTCCGAAAATTTTGAAATCCCCAATGTCCTTAAATCAGAGAGAATACGACCTAGAAAAGGTAAAATACTTATCTCAAAAGAATAAATCATATGGAATGTCCTAAAATACAAACTAATCTAATTAGATTATATTAAGAGAAGAGTCAGTTGATTTGCTCTCATCATCTCAAATGAGTCTGGAAAAAATTGACGAGGAAAATGAGAGCGTTACTTCCTCTGTTCATCTTAGGAATTTAGGAGTAGCTAAAATGAGAAATACTGCGAAAAGCAATTTTAGTAAAGCTGGCTAATCAGAGATTATACTGGAAAATGAAAATCAATTAGAAGAAGATGATTCACTAGAGATTTAGCATGCAGATGAATTTAATGAAATTAATGACTCCGAACAATAAAAATAAGAGAAATTATCTGAGAATGATCAAGAATCTTAAAGAGAAGTAGAAATTGATTAATAAAACTAAATCTAGGAGAATTATTAGAGTAATGACCTAAATTAGAATAAGGTAAATCATGAATAAGATGAGATGAAAGATTTGGAGATTAAATCTTAAGATGATCTTGAATAAGAATAGAAAGATCAGTTTAGTGAATAAGAATAATAGGATAACCAATTAGATTAGAATTAACAGAGAGAATAGAATGATGATATCAATCAAGAATAGAAACATTCCGAGAGGTCAGTAGAATAAAAATTACCTGAAGTTGAAAGTCAAGAAGATTACTAAGACGATTTTGAAAATGATGAAGTCTAAGAAGTTGCACTAAAAAATGAAAATGAACAATAAAATGAAAATGAGGATGATAGTGAATCTGACTTATCTGTAAAAAGTAAAAGTAAGACTAAAGAGGCTAAAGTTGTGCCTATTAATGATTAAGAATAATGATAAAAATCTGAATGATAGTTATAAAATTAAGATTAATGATTACTTTATTTCTTTAAAAGTAAAATTATAGATTTACACTTATTAATTCTAATCAATTTCTTTATATTGAGCTGTAATTTGCTTAGATGTTTAGCTGCTATTGCGATTTTCAATAAAGATTGAACTGACCAGGGCCATTCTAATTATTCTAAGGTCTTTCCCAAGGGAGTGCAAATTCATTTTGCTTGGATTAAGGAGTATTTCTGCCTCTATTCATCATTCTACTTGGATTGTGGCTAACAGTTTTACTTTAAGGATAATGCAAGTAGTCTTCCACTGGCCCGATTTGCTACATATTTTATTTTCTCTCGGCAATTTCAATTATATTCTTAAGCTCAATATTTTACTTTGCCCAGGTAATTTGATTATCTCTAATTACTATTTAGATAGTAAATCTCACCACCAAGATAACAACAATAGCCGCCAAGATGATGAAAACTGATATGGAAATCGAATATATAATAATAACTTGAGTGAATGACAGTCTGTCAACTAATTAGTAAGTAAAAGTCATAGATGCTCCTGAAGTCAATCCCTAACTAACAATAAAAACTTGAGTATCAGAATCAAAATCATATTCAGTATTAGATACACAACTAGTCTCACTAGTGGTGGTGTCAATGCTAGATCCTTAATTAATGAAGCAGTTAGTTTAATAAAGAGTATTGACAGTGATTCTAATGAATTTGTCTTGAATAAATTGTGTATCTGCTATTATCCTCCAACTGCAAACATCATCTTTTCCAAAGTCTAATGTAGTACCTCCTACTTACTTTGCTTAATCCCCTGCATATATAATCTTAGAAAATGTATTCTAGTCAAAATCAAGAGATGTCGATGTAGAAAAGCACTTAGAAGCTGAATTAGGGCATAAATATAACTTCATAGACTTCGATTGTGTTCGGTCAGAACACATAAACCTCTTATTTTGAGAGCAGAAGTCATTGGTATTACTTAAGTCGCAGCAATAACCTTTTGATGCATCTTCATAAGAGAGACAATATTTATTCACAGGGCTGGTAGAGGACAAGCAACCATAGCAATCTGATGTTATTGAATATCCTTGAAGTTGGGCGATATAAGTAGCAACAATTACTAAGCAAGAAATAATGGTATTTTTGTATTAGTTTTTCATTAATTTCTATTTTTTATTTAAATAAGCTTAATTGATTACATTTTCCTAAAGCTTAAATATCTATCAACATGGGGTTTTGGGGTTTTGGGGTTTTGGGG